TCCCTGAATCCCAGCGTCGGGCACTGGGTTATCTCCTCTCTGCTGACTTTGCTGTTTGCATTGAACTAGTTGGCACTAGCTCAGAGAGCTCATGGCATTGTTTCATCGACCCAACTAGATGGCTCCCAAGCCCATAAAGACTTCTGGAAACAGCCAGGTTGGCCAGGGTCAGGCCTCCTGGGAAGGTAGGTTAACCTGTGGTCAAAGGACCAGGGCTGGTCTGTTTTGCTGGGAAAATGTACAAAATAACAGGGCATTCCCAGGGAGCACCGAGCATGGGGGACTGCAGGGATCCCAAAAAAGCCTGGGGAAACTGTCTGCTACTGCTCCATGGCTATCGCCTTGCTCCTGCTGCTCCCATCCCAACCAGCCCCTCCCTGGTGGGGAAACCCACCCTGCTCACAGACCAGGGGTCCTTAAAACTCCTCCTTACAGCTTGAGCACAGACCCAGAGCCACAGGAGCTGCCAAGCAGTGCCACCACAGGTCACCTGCCCCCGGGGACACATAGGTGAGCACCTGGAGACCCCCACCCCGGGACATGGCAGAGGGCAACTGGACCCCATCCTGGGTATCACCTAGCACAGCCCTTCCAGGAGCCACACAGGGATTTTTGGAGCTTCCTCAAAGCATCCCCGGTTCTGCCTTGGCTTCTTGCCACCAGGCTTTTATTTAACCTACGTGGGCTCATCGAGATGTCCTGCTTGTGAAACTCCAGGCGATATGTTTTTGGCCTGGCCCCAATAGCTGTTAACCTGAACGCATGGCCGCAGGGTGCTGTTGCTATTTGCACTGCACTCATTAGATCCTACATATTGAATTTGCACCCCTACCAAGAAGCCTTCCTGTAATTAATGCCAGAGCTACTTGTACAATTGGGAAAGCAGCTCAGCCGAGACGTAACCCGACCTTCTGCTGAGCTCTGTCGAGTGCCCTAAACGAGACATCCCTGTGGAGCATCCCGCCGCTGTGCAGCTCTGCCAGGCAGATTTTCTGAGATTTTTACATTTTCATGGAGTTTAAAAACCCCAAACTAAAGAACAACCAAAAAACCCACCGCGCTTTTTTGGCCCAAACTTGTTTCAAAGAAGTGATAGGAAAGTAGCAAACTTGGAGACCTGTCCGAGGACCTGTGCTTGATCCCACCTCTCCCCCCTTCCCCTCCTGTTGGCTGTCGCGGTGTTGCATGCAATGCTCACTGGACGCAGCCGTACTTGGGGAAGGACCCAGCTATGATGCAGCAGTGGGTGAGAAATCTCATTCCTGCATCTTTCCCTCTGGTTTTCCACCCAAAGTCCCATCTGCTCCTGGAGGGTTTGGTCTCCCTGCTGTGACCAGCCAGATGGGGCAGCTGTTCACCAGTGCCCACCCCAATGGGGAGATTGTGCCCTCACTAGCAACTGGGAGAGATGGAGACACTGGTTTGTCCAGGCCTTCCCATGGTGAAATCTTTCTGGAGGAGTTCAGCTTGCCCAGGTGAACTGCATTTTCCCTGGCAAGGAGGATTTGATCCCTTCTGTCCATCTTGTGAGTATGCACAACCCCAGTTTCACCCACCGGCCACATCTCCCTGCAAAGCACCTTGGCAGGAAGATCCATGCGAGCAAACCATCTTGGTCTGATACAGAGGAAGAGCGAGGAAACTGAGCAGCAAACCAGGGTGATGGGTCAATGGACAAGGGGATGCACGAGCGTTTACCTTCATCGTTGATGTAGGCCTCGAAATCAAAGGTGCTGTTGCTGGTGAAGTTGCTGGTGAAGTTGCTGGCGATGCCATCGGTGAAGTTGCCGTAGAGTGTTGCATTGGCCAACATGTCGTTGTCCAGCCCTAAGTCCCCCAGCAGGGTGTCATTGAGGGGGGGCCACCGCACGCACTTCTGCCGGAGGTTCCCCATGAAGAGCTGGAGACCGATTAGGGCGAACACGCTCAGGCAGAAGACGGTGAGGATCATGACGTCTGCGAGCTTCTTCACCGACTGGATCAGAGCCCCAACGATCGTCTTCAGCCCTAGGGGGGAGGTGTCACTACTGAGCTAATCACTCGTTTGCTAATTGTGGAGAAGGTGCTATGGCGTTCCCAAAAGGTGCTGGATCTGGTGGGGATGTGTGGTATCACCAACTTCATCCCATGTGCTCAGTCCCCCAGCTCTGTGCCCCACGTTGCATCCCAGGTGCTCCTCTGTCCCCACACATTGCTGGGCAGCATAAACCCTTCCCCCAAAGCTGTCGCCCTTGGACCAGTGCCAGCCGAGCCTCCCCATGCCAACCTTAACCTGGGTATCACAAGCCAAAGCCCACCCCAGCCTGGCAGCCATCAATTCCTTTTGGCTTTACGTTTTCCCCAGATGCCACAATCTGGCCTTCTTTGACCCAAACCACTAGAGCAGACCACTTTGCTGTGGCACATGGAAAAGCTATTTGCCAGCCCAGCTGGAAGATGCTGAGCGCTGCTCTCAGCTCCAGAAAAGCCTCCGTGGTCCAACACCCCCACGTGCTGCTGTCTCGGGGGTGGTCGGGAGCCCAGCCAGATGCTCCAGCCTGATCCCTTCAAGCTGGAGAAACCCCAACGCGTCTGAGTGAAGGTGATGAAGTGACGTCTGCATTAAGCATTGGGATTAACTCATCTCTCCCCGCCAGCATCGTTGTTTCCTCCGCAGAGGAAGCTCACCCACAGATCCTCAGTGGGCTTTTGACATGGAGGAGGTCGTTCCCATCACCCGAGGTCTACATGGATGATGGGTGATGCCAGGACATCCTGACGTTGATCTTAAAAGCAGCTCTGAGCACAGAGCTTTCTCACGTGGATGCAATTCTCCAAAGACACATGATTTTTAGCCCTGTCATCGTGCCAGTTCCCCCCCTTCCCCAAACTATTTAGGTAAAACCCTGTTCTCCAAGGGCTTGTCTATGTTGGGAAACCGCTGAGGACAGCCATTCTAAACCAACTTATTTTTGCAACCACTATTTCTGCAGAGCCCCTTGGGGGGATGTCATTCCAGAAAGCAGCAGCAGCTTACGTTTTGCTTAATGCAATTTTTAGCCTGTTTGATGGAGGCAAAAAACATTCAAATATGAACCCTAAAGATCTGGAAACTGCAGGGGCACAAGAATTTATTCCCCGCAAGAAATTATCATTTTCAGTTCAATCTCACGCTTCTTCAAGGGGTCTGACCTATCATTTCTGTGATAGTGGTACCAAAGCAGAGTATTGAAATGGCATCAAATTCGGGAGACAGCCATCAGAGGTATTTGATAACGTGCTCCTAATACTGGACTGGATGTTTGGGGTGATGTTAAACACTCGCCACGTGGCTCTTGCACTAATACCCATTAAATATCTCAACCCGAGCACCAGAGCAGTCAGCAGTGGGGACAAAACTGAGTTTATGGCTCCAAGGACCAAGCAAAGCGTATTGGTTCCTCAAGCACATAAACACAATGTGAGCACAAGCCCACTTAAGGCATCTCCAAGGAGCCCTAAAAACACCACGTCTGGCTCACCAGGGGCTTTCCCTGGCCAAACAACTGAGTGAGCACAGCTAATTTCAAGATGTAAAATCAGCAGGACCTGACCCAAAGGCTGAATTAATGTGGAAAATTATTTATAAGTTTTGAATACCTTATTTCCTCTGTTTTCTCTTAGAGCTGTCAAAAGAACAAGGAATTGCTGTGAACTGTGGGAAAACCTGAGCTCAAGAAAGGGGAAGATATGGAGAGGAGACCCCTCCTTTAAGTCCCACCTGGTATCACGGTAATGGTTTTCAAGGCCCGGAGGACGCGGAAGGTCCTGAGAGCAGAGATGTTCCCCAGGTCCACGAACTCGGTAATGTAGCTGTAGGACAGGAGACGAAAGGCTTCAAGGGCTCTGCCAGGCACCCACCCCGCTGTTTCTCAGTCCTCCTCCCCCATTGCAGTGGCCAGACCTCCTGTCCTCCCCCCATCCCACCAAACTCACGCCATGGAGATGACCATGAAGTCCAGCCAATTCCACGGGTCACGCAGGAATGTGAAGCTGTCGATGCAGAAGCCTCTCGACAGTATCTTGATGAGGGACTCGAAGGTGTATATCCCAGTGAAGGTGTATCTGAAATGGGAACAGTGACTCAGGGGATGTTCACCCAGGTGCAAGGGCCAGGATGACGTTTTGTCCACCCTGCCAGTGGGACCATCTTGGGGAGCTGAGTTTGGGGGCTGACGGTCACGGGCTGCCAGGTTCTTGGGGTGCTTTGGCACTGGGGGAGTTTTTCACCTCACCTCATAAGGCAAGTTGGGACATCTTGAGGTACCAATCCCTCTGGTGACTATTCTGCAACACCTCTGATCCCTGCTGATGTGCCATCACCACCACGCTCTCTGTAAAACCCTGCTGAGACCTGATTGTGCAGGACCACAGCAGAAAATGCTGGATTTTCCCCTTCTCACCTAGGGCTGGTCGTCCATGCTCCTTGGACTGGAGAATCTGCTCAGCCTCTCCAGACTATCACTGCTGACCCAACCCGACCCAACATGCTCTGCAGTGGTCTCCTGTCACAGGGACCCCACCAGATTTTGGGCAGCTCTGAAACACTCCCACTCTTTGCAACGCCTAATGCACAGCGTGGACATCCCTCTGAGATCAAGAGGGCCACCAGCATCTCCCAATGACACCTATCTTCCTCTGACGGGTGCCTGGATCCCAACGCCCTTCTCTCAGCCTTGGTCCTGTCCCTCCCGAGGATGGCCAAGCTGGGATGGTCCCCATGGCTGGGGGAGGTCGTGGGAGGCAGGGACTTACTCCACGTTCTTGGACCACGCTGGGGGGTTGCTCAGCGTCATAAACACGCAGTTGGTTAATATCGTGATCATGATGAACATGCTGAATAATTTAAAACCTGGTCAAGGAGAAATGCTGTGAGTGTTGCCTAGATTCCCCCCTTCACACGGTTATGAAGCCAAGCACCCCTACTCCTCTTGTCCTGGCGCCCACCTTGGTCCCAGCCCTGACCTGCTCCTCCTGCAGCTCTCTCCTCGCTCAGTCCTGTGCTCACACTTTCCCCGCAGTCCCTCTGCTCCCATCATGGTCCTGGCCTCTGCCCTCCCTTTCTGCTCCCCTCCCTAGCTCTGTGGTGCTGGCTCTGCCTCCTTTCTTGTCCCTGTGCTCCTTCCTCTCCATCACCCCAGGACACAGCTTTCCCCATTTGTCTGATCCCTCTGCCACAAACATCCTCTCTTTTTCCTCCTACCTCCTGGCCCCCAACCCCTGCTGCCACCAGAGCTCTGCTGGGATCACTTCCCACCCATCCTAGTGCCCCTCTTGCTCTTGGGGTCCTTTCCTGTCTTTCCATCTCTGCTTGTCTTGCACCTAAAGCCCCAGAACTGCCCAAGTTGCCTCCTTCCCTGTACCCCAGTGTCCTGGTTCCTCTGCTTTCCCTCTCCCAAAGCATCCTTTGAGCTCCCCAGTTCACCCACTTCCCAGATGGGACAGGATCCTCTGACCTGTAAACATTTGCCTTCCTTTCCAAGCCTCTCCAGACCTCAGAGACCTTGAACCTCTTCCTAAGAAGCTCCACCACTTAGGTTTCTTCCCTTCTCCAACCAAACTAATTCCTACCTTCTCCAACCAAGACTGAGCTCTTGGTGCCACCAAGGTGCCCAAAGCCTTCAAGCACCCACTCCTTGGGAAGGGACCAAAGCACCGGGATGGCTGGGCAGTGGGTCCTGGCCATGGTGGGGGCCAGCCCAGGAGATTTGCTCACCACACCGTCATGAAACACTTCTCCTAGCTCTCTCCCAGGGCTGTTTACACTCTGAGCATCAGGCTTTGACCTGGCAATGGAGCAGCATCACAGAGGGCAAGGATATGAATGGATAAGCACTTTGATGGCTCCTCTGCGGATGGGGTGGAAGGGCCCCAGCAGGTAGAGGGCAGGGGTTGCCGAGAAACGGAAGATGGACTTCCCTTTGTTGAGGACTATGAATGTCTGTGGAGAAAAGAGAGGAGGGAGATGGGTTAGCCCTTCTGCACACCCCCGAAACACCCATGGATCCAGTGCTGCCGTTAGAGGTGAGACCTCTATGCATGCTTTGGATCTCCAAAGGCTCGGGACTTTGCCAAGGAACAGATGCTCTGCTTTGGAGGAGAAGCAACCACAGCAGTCTGGGGCTGTGGATCACTAAGATGGGCTCAGATGAGACCCTGGGGCATAGTGGAAAGAAGAGGAGGTCCATGCTTTGGTCTTTTTCTTGGGACTTACTTTCTGCTAAGCTCTGCCCCTCACCTTCTTATCCTTGTAGAAAGGGTCTAGGTCCTCCAGGGGGGTCCCAATAAGCTCCAGCGGTGGGTCACCATAGATGAGGGGCAGGTTCTTGCCGGCTTCCAGGTCGCTTCTGGGCTTGATCTCCTCTTCCTCGGGCAGCTCCACTTGCTGCCGCTTTACCTTGAGCGCCTCTGCCTCTGCGATGCGCTGCTCGATGGCAGCCAGCGAGGCGGGGGTGAAGGGGCGGAGGTTCTCGGGGCCCGGGATGTGCGGCAGGCCGGCCATCCTCTCATTCTGCTCCCGGGATGCCTGCGCCCAGCCTGCTGGGGAGAGGGGGGCTGAGAAAGCAATGCCAGCTGGTGCCTTTTTGGGGCATTGTTGCTCAGCCCTTGAAGCCAGGTGATGGCAGGATCTCAGTGGGTTTTTGCGAACGGGTTTATTGCAGAAATAATGAACTCGCAAGAAAGATTATTGTGCATGGATCACTTGCAGACGGAGCACCCCATGTGCTCCTCCTCCTCCCAGACCCCCGTTCAGCCTCTGATCAAAAAGCACCGTCAGGTTGAGCACCGTATGGGCTGAGCACTCGGTATCCCCGGCACCAGCTGGCTGTTGTTAGACGTGCAATTTCACAACCTGGACAGGGTTGTTCAACAAAACGAAAACACCTTCGGCATTAGCGGCACCGCTCCAGCTGTCTCCCCTTTGTAATATGCTGCAAGGCAGCCGCAGCTTTCCTCCTGCACCTTGTGCAAGCAACATGCGGTGCTCAAAGCAAGAGGTTCCTCAGCCAGAGGAACTCGGTCCTGCAGAGTTAGTGGCCATTTCACAGCACCTGTCCGTAGGAAACACGAGTGACCTGCCGTGCTGGAATGCTCTGCTCCCGAGAGGAAGGGGTTAAAGCCTCATCTTGAGCCAAAAAGCAAGGCAATAAGGGCACTTTCTAATGTTACAGAGATCAGGATGACTCCCCAGACAGGAATAGGGTGGGCCATTTGGGAGAGATAAGGGTGGCTCTGCTGAGACTGAGCAGCAGAACAACAAAAAGGGTTGGAGGGAGCAAAGTGGGGAGGAGATGGGTGGTTGCACACCCAGGAACAGGCTGCCATGCCCTGAGCGAGGCCGAAACACCTGGCAAAGGCTTCCTAGACACCAGAAAGGTTCTTGCTTTGAGTCACCTTGCCTCGATATCTGTTTGACCCATAAACACCAGCTTGTGTCAGAGATGATACCCAGTATAACACTTGATCCCACTTTGCAGGGATACTGAGATAGATGCACTTCTGTGCCTCACCCTCCCCAAAATGAGCATCCCAGGAGCAGTGGGCGACTCCTCCATGCACCAAAACTAGCCTCACCCTCCCCAAAATGAGCATCCCAGTAGCAACGGGCGACTCCTCCATGCACCAAAACTGGGCGTTACTGCTGAGCACCTGCCCTCGAAAAAGCTTTAGGATCAATACTCCTCACAGCCCTGCCACGCTGAGAGCTGGAAACCTTCAGCTTTGTAATTAAGGAGAGCTGGAGATTTATAGCCCTGATGGGAAGAGAGACTCTGGGTGCATAATGGTATTGACACGTTCCTATGGTGATTATAAAACCAAGTCATAAAAGCAATGGCAAAGGGAGGTATTGATTTCGAGCAGCACAAGATAACTGCATTTTAGAAACCCTCACGCTCTCTCGCTATCGCTGCTGAATTGAGTCTCGGTGTGCAAAATAGATTTTCTTCTGCCAAGGGCAGGCAATCCCCACAGCAGCAGTGTTGTGGTGGTATTACTGCTCACCCCCCATCGCATCCAGCCCCAGGGATGAAGCAGGGACCAGCCCCCAGCTGCAACACCTCTTGGGCAGACCACCTTCTTCATGGTGTTCGAACAGCCCCTTCGTGGTTCCAACGTGTTCAAAATGCAGCTGGTAGAGGCATGGGAGCAACTTGCTGCCTTTTGGAACAGTGCAACCTTTAAAAGAATCAAGTGGCAAGAGCACCAATTTTTGTATTTAAACCTGTTTTTAAGAGGGAGAGTTTTGTCCTTGCTGAACGGGGTTATCTAGTAGCATAAACCGAGTCATATCACTGCAAAGCGGAATCTGGCACTGCCTAGCCCACACGCAAGCTTGTGCCCAAAACCGCTGCAAAACAGAGAGCCCGGAGCAGCTACCCCAGAGGGGCACAGCCCTGTCTCACCCCAGGCCCCTGGACCACAAAGGTGGGACCTCATCAAAGCAAACAAAAAGGGAATTTTTGCCACCACACCCCTCTGCGAGTGGATGTGCCCACGGCAGCGGGTCAGCAGGGTACCACCGTTGCTTCTCATCCAGAGTTATTCTGGATTTACACCCATTTCACACTCTACTTGAGCGGCTCTGGAAACCTGCCCTTTGCATTCCCTTGGTACCAGTGGCCTCAAAGCTCAAACCAAAAGCACAGGGCTGTGTCTGGCTCTATCGCCCCGAGTCCCACCGGGGATGCATGCTCAAGCGGGACCTACAGCACCCATGGGGGGACAAACCCACCCCATCTCCTGGGGACTCCGAGGACTCACAGGAGCTTGTTGGTCTAGGCAGCCTCAATTTCCCTGGAAATAGGGTTTTGCAGAGCTGTTAGGGCAAGCCTGCGTCACTGGCCATGCCAGCGCTCTGTAGGGCTCCAGCCCCTTCAGCAGCACACTGCTCTCCAAGGCTTCAGTCCATGGGGTGCCTGATCCACGTCTTCCCTGGAGCCTCCCACTGGGTGCTGCTCCTCCAAACCCCCAGCAGTGCCCTGTCCCCGCTCGCTGCGCCCAGCCTGCTGTCCCGGCGGAGGTGGTCAAAACCCCCAGCAGTGCCCCGCCCCCGCTCGCTGCGCCCAGCTTGCTGTCCTGGCGGAGGTGGCTGTGCCTCCAGCTGCCACCAGCGATCACCGCAGGAGTCAGGTTTCTGCAGCCCCATGACTCTGCTCATTCCTCCCCCAGCAGGAGCGAGCGCAGGAGGGGAGCCCGAGCGAGCAGCACCAGCTTTGCTTTCGGCCCATGTCTCCTCTTCCTCTCGCTGGGCTGAAGCCATCATGCCGTGCCGCGCTGATCCGGCTGCCGATGGAGCAACCCCTGGCAGCACCAGGCATGGGGCTTGCCGCCGCAGGAGGAGATGCTGCGGGTTGGCAGCGACGCCCACGGCA